TTCAAACATGTTTTGTTGAATAATACTGATCCTTTTCTGTTGTTTAATCAGTTTTCTGATGTCAAGATGAAATCTATCAAGAAGTTGCCTTAGTTTTCTTAAGCTAAGTGTCATGAAATTCATGGTGAATTTGTGACAATGTTATCTGCTTGTCCATCGTTCACTGCACCTGTGATGACATCTAAAGTTGATTGTATTTGCATATACACCCAACTTGCTATGTGCACAGGTTCATCTTGGCTGTGATTGCTTTCAACAAATAATAATAATAATGACAACAAATGCTGGTTGGGAGATCACAACAATACAATTTCTCACTAAGCTGGCTAATCTTTTTCTTTGGCTGAACTATTGGCTCCCTAACTTCCTCCTGTCCCTTTCTCACAGGTCTCTGGGCTTGGCACCTCCAAATCCTCACTACCTGGTTCTTCTGTCACTGGCTGCTAGGTACTTACCCACTTCCTCACTCAGCCCCTGCCTGCTGGACTCCTTCTCACAGCTTATAGGATAATGGCTGGGGTCCCATCTCTCCATCCAGAAGTGTTGAGACCACCTCAAAGCCACATGGGTGGTCAAATCTTCCAAAGACTACTTTTATGACTATCTAAAATCATTAAAATTTTATGTTTACCAATTCAAAGGTGAACTGGAGACATGAATCCTGAAAACCTGTCAATTCATTTGACTCAAGGATGGACTGGAGACAGGATTCCTACAAAACTCAGATAACTGAGTCAACTTAAAAGGAAGGAATGTATCTTCTAAAGATGTGTGAGAAATCATATTGTTACACAAGTACTTTTGACCTTTTCTAAGATCATCTTCAGGGTTAAATTACAAAGACAAACAATTTGTCCACTTGTCAGCGGGTATCAGTAATTTACTTTATATTTTTTCAATTTTTCCTTTTTATACACATTTAGCACTGGTGTAAATTTTCTTCTGTATTCTCTGACATTTTGTCTGTGCACCCATGTGGCCTTTTTTGTTTGTTTTTTTTTTATATTTTTTTTTTTATCTGTAGCAGACTTAGTCTGGTTTTTTTATCTGGCTCTAGACATGTGACCTATTTTTTATTTATGGGTATTTTAGTGTTTTTGCTAGGGATAGTTATATATATATATATATATATATATATATATATATATATATATATATATATATATATATATATATATATATATTTGATGCTGCAGTTGAACTTGTTTAAAAAAAAAAAACTGTGGCATCCAGCCTCCTTCTAAAGAAACAAAATGTTATCTCTGTCTAATATTCTCTTTGTGCTGGTGGTTAAATGAATAGCAGCTCGGATTTAGAAATCCAAGAGTTGGGTTTGAATTCCTGTCTGATTCATTACATTCACTTATGCACAGATGCCCTTTGGAAAGGTATGAACCTATCTGTGTCCCCCTGCATTATGGATTAAATAGTAGGACTGGTATCTGGAAAAGAAAATCATTGTTATTCTCAAAATGATTGTTAATGCAATATTCACTTGCAAGAAAAGAAACATTCACACAATTCAAAATATGTTTTGGCTTTAAATAAACCATCTACAGTTGATAAGATGTAAAAAAAAAAATCAACTGAATCTTGTTTGTCTCCATGATTTTTTTCAGTTTTCTAACTTTTTTCATTTATTTATTCATTGGTCATATAAAATTCAATTTGATCATGACTATTTGCCAGATTGCATTTATTTGTGTCTTTGATAAAGTCCATTTAAAAAAAAAGAATAGGGATATTTTTGAAAAGATAAGTTGATTAACAATTTGTTTCTTTTTTTTTTCTGTACATGTTTTATAAAGTTCTTTTCATACAATTGAAATGCATGACAAGTGACAGGTTTAAAAGTTCAACCAGTCTCAGTCAGTTTAATTCTCACCATCTCAAATAGAAGCAAATTTAACTTCTTAACTGAAGCCTTTTAACATTCTGTTTGCTTGAGTAGAATTGGTTGCTGTTGTTTAAGACATTCTCCATTTTTGCATTCTCAGTGTGTATTAGTATGTCTGCCCACTACTAAACTTTATCAGGTTATTCATTGATAAATTTTATATGTAGACTCAAAGTAGATTTTGTTTATATGTAGACTTATAAATGTGCAAGATAAATTCTGGCAAGGAAAATTATCTAGCATAACATAGTGAAACAACTTGAAGAAAATTAGTCTGGCAGCTGTTTAAAATCATATTAGATGTAATTTGTTACTGGATAGATTAAAATGATTAGATAAAGAACTGGATTAATTTATGTGCTAAATCTTCAATGTTAAATTTGTCATGAATTTAATAACATGACTGGCATTACAATTCCAAAATAATGTCATGTTTTCTGTTATTTTCTTTCACATTTTCCTTTTTCTCATGTCTACATAATGAAGAAAAGAAAAATTAACAAACTTGTAAATTTAAAATATACATGAACATGAATTATTTATAATCCAATAATAAGAAAAATTTATAGCAATTTTCTGTTTAGTTTTAGTTTTGATTTTTCTCTTAAGTTCAAAATCATAACCAAGAAGCCGTAAGCTAAATTTACGACATATCTTTAGCAGTGGCTTGAAAGTTTTTATTTTCTCTGTAATGTAGACAAGTGTTTTGTTGTTAAAAACTATTTTGATTTGTTTTACAAATTTCTGAAAACATTGTCTATTGTAAGTCTATAGGTCCTGTCAATGTTGCTAGTTTGGTTTCTTTCATAAGTAGGTTTTTGAAAGGGTTGAATAACTAGCTCCATACCCAATTGGTTTTAAATTCAGAATTGTTCATCTTGATTGGTTGAATCTCTAGCTGAGGAGAGAAGAGATGAATTCATAACTTTTCACAAGGGCATTTGTATGAAAGTGAATGTTACAACTTCACTGGAATTCAAAGTTTCTTCTGGATTGGTTTGCCAATTAAGGCTAGAGAATTCCGTGAACCCTCCTATTAACCCCCAGCTGGTTGGTGGGGGTGGAGAAATGGATTCATTCATTTCCAAGGATAATTGTGTGAGAGCAACAGCCTCAGCTGGAATTTGAACTTAGTGTACCAATCCCACTTTCTGAGGCAATAACCAATATGCTATGCCCACACCCAAATTCATTGTGTGATCAAGATGAATTTTGAAAATCTACCGTCTGGGTAAAATCTTTTGACATTTTGATTTGGCAGACAGACATGTCCTATGGTTGGCCATTATTGTTTGACTTTTAAGACTGAATATTCACTAAAATATTCAAAGGCCAAGGAACACACAAGCAAATAAAATGGATCACAACAATAAAATTTTGCTTATTGTATTATTTTTACCTCAGTGACTAATTTTGAAGGCCTTGCTGTTTTGTAATTATGAACCATTTTCCAGCGATGATTAAAATGTTTTTAATGATAAAGTTTTATAAAGAGTTTGTGACATGAAAATTATTATTATTTTATTCTTTAAAACCTGTAATTCATTCAGATCATAAAGGTACTGTAGCCGCAGTAACAGTAATGTTTCCTGGGAAAGATAGCCTGATGGAGCCCATCCCTCTCCAGGCTGGTTTTGAATTCAGATTTTTTTCTCCTCTTAAACTAGTTGCCACCCAAGACTATCCAGTGTGTCTTGCTATTTATCCATAGTGGGTAGTCGGAGAAGAGATGGATTCATGCTTTTTCCAAGGGTATACATAATTTTGCTAATTGTCATCCTATTAAAAATTATATTAAGGATCTTATTATTTAACTTTATTTAAATTATTTGTCAATTTAAAAGTGATGATGCTATCAAAATAAATATAGAGAATTAGTTTTTCGAAAAGGCAATTTTTGAGTGATACAAATCATAACCAATCAGTTTTAAGCTAAATGTGTATTCATGCAAGGAAAAGCCCATTCTAATTTTGCAAAGCTATTTCCCACCTTGCTAAAAAAGGGGTTTAAGACATTTAATGGAATGACCAAGCCTTGCTACATATTAACCCAGTAGAAAACATCTATCATTAAGAGTGGATATGGCTATGAAAAACAATATACAATCAAATATCTCTGGGAAGCAATGAAAAAAAAAACTGCTACAAGTAATATTAAAGTCAGAACAGTAGAAAGTTAAAATCAATGGTTGAAAGACTTATGAAGGTTATAGAATATTAAGGAGTTTATTTCATAATAAAAAATTATTCTGCTTCAATCAAATATTTACATAGCAAAAATATTGGATTTACAAATTAAAAAAAAAATCTAACATCTACCAAATGGGTTATCAATAAGGATAAATAATATCTTTTATTAATGAATTAAGGTGAAATTCAATTATATGAGTATGTACTGAAAATTTTATCAATATCAGTTAATTTATACCAATTTTATTGTGAAAACATTGACTTGAATAATAAAATTTGATATAGTATTTGCGTGTACATATATTTTAATCATTTCACTTGAGGTGAAATGATTAAAATAAAGGCAGTAAAGTCACTGAGATGCAAGGGTTACTGAGTGTGAGAAAATATAAGAAAAAAGAAATGTTAAGGGGATACAACAATAAAAAGATGGGAATTAAGAAGACAGAAAGACACAAAGATAATGATTGACACTGCATTTAAATTTTTGAAGATGAAAGTTGATTGGAAAGCAAGGGGTCAGAAGAGTTCCACAAATGAAAAGTACAAGAGAAGATACTGTTACCATAGAACTTATAGTTACATCTAACCATTTCAATTGTAACATGACGAAATCTTGTTACTAGTCTAGTAGTCTGCTTAAATTCATAAAGTCTAGGTACCAAGTACTATGAAAATAGTTACAGAAAAAGCACAGGGGAGTGTGTTACAGTGGTGGGAAAGTGACTGAAGCCAAAATGCCAGATTGTATTTTATCAAGAATTTGTAAATATATAGCAGAAGCATCCAATACATGGATGAATTGTAAACTTATAAATGTGTATATATATATATATATATATATATATATATATATATATAGACTTAAATTTTTTTTTTTTATATTTAGATACAATATATTTTTCTCTTGTAGGTTTGATGCGGTCACGTGTGAGAGGTGCTGATGCATCCACAGCAGAAATACTTACATTTCTTGACAGCCATTGTGAATGTAATGTCAACTGGTTGGAGCCTCTACTTGAAAGGGTTGCTGAGGTAATGTTTTTTTCAATGAAGTGACCATATTGATCTAGCTTATTTGGTCATAATGTTTGATGTCTCATATTTCCAAATGTTTTTCTTCAAAACTTTTGCTGCATTCAAGTTTCCAAGTCAGGAGAAAGCAAACTGAAAATTTACTGTTTAAATAAATTTTGAAATTCATAAAGGTTCAAAATGGCTGGCTATCACTCTCATGCATAAATTTGTTTTAAGTGACTTTTGTTAAATTTAAGTGATTGACTTATTTTCTGTTCATTATGTATATTTTACTTAGGAGGCATGGTGGAGTAATGGATAGCGGGTCGGATTGAGGAATCTGAGAGCCGAGTTTGAATTCTAGTTGAATCCATTAAATTCACTTGCATGCTAATACCCTTGGGAAAGGTATGAATTCTCTTCTTCTCCCCCCAGACCAGATTCTATAGCCTTGGATGGCAACTGGTCTACCACATAAAGAAATGGCAACCTACTGCAAAAAAAATCCGCCTCATCAATCATGTATCAAAAGATACATGATCGCCTAAGCGTGTATCACGCATGGCACATAACTGACTGACTGATGTGTATTTTATACTGTTAGTTACAATATGTATTAAAATATTAGTCCCAAAAAAGAAATAAGACTAATCCAGATAACAACCATAACAAAAAAAGAAAACTGCCCTCACTCAATCTTTCCTTCTCCAATATTAGTGGCATCCGTTCCAACTTTTGCAGTGTAGAATCTTTTCTCTTGGAAAAATTGCTGGATATCTTTGGTCTCTGTGAAACCAACTTGAATTATTCCATTGCTACCAATGAATTCTTGGTTCCAGACTATCTTCCCCTTTACCGAAAAGATTCCAGTGTTTACATGCATGGCCTTGGTGTTTATATCCGAGATAATCTTCTAATGGTTAGGGAATTGTCTCTCGAGGATGGTGACTACTCTTTCATTTGCTTCTTTCTTTAACTACTAACCTCTGTCAGCTATCTCTTTTTCCTTTATTGTCCCCACCCCCTTCCAAAGACTGTAGTTTATTAGATGCAATAGCTGACAGTACAGAAAAGACACTTTCTCTCCATCTGTTTGTGAACATCTTTGTCTTCGGTGACTTTAATGCTCACCACAACACATGGCTGAAACATTCTAAAGGTATTGATGTTGCCAGTATGCAGACATTAAATTTTTCCATTGCTCAATCCCTCACAGAAATTGTGGACTTCCCTACTGGTTTCCCTAGCCAAACATTGTTGGATCTATTTCTTACCTCCTCTCCCTACTCTTGCCAAGCTTCAAAATACTGCCCTCTTGTAACTTAGACCATTCTGTGGTAGCCATTGATATCTACCTCCAAGCATTCACTAAGCAGGAACCCCCTATCAATTCTTTCCAGTACCAGCATGCTGATTAGGACTTATTCTGGGATGTGACACCCCTTGGACTAACCTCCCAATTGCCACTGATGTTTCTTCTTGGGTCAAAGCTGGCATGGATACTTTCATCCCTTCTCAGAAATACCAGCTGAGATTGCAATCCTCTCCATGGTTCACATCAACATGATCAACTGCCATAGCACACAGGAACTACTATTTCCAGCTATACCAGTGTGACAACTTTTGTCATAACGGGTGCCTATTTGCTACTGCTCATAATAAATATAAATAAGTCCTCGAAGAAGCTAAGTCGCTGTTTGCTGAGAGAATGAGGCACTGCATAGCCTCTAAAAACTTTGGCTCTCATGATTACTGGCGTCTCTATAATAGGGTGTCTAATACGTACAAGATCTCTATTACCCCCTCTTCAATCGATTTGAGTTGTTATTATCCTCTGCTGATAAAGCTGAATGCTTTGCCTGTAAATTCTCCTCAAACTCTACTCTTGACTCCTCTGCCTAACTTCCCACTTAGAACTGATTCTCTCTTGAGTGATATATATATAACCCTTCCATGATTTCTGCTATCATCTTTAACCTTGATCTCTACAAAGCATGTGAACTCGATAGTATCAATAGTCATTAAGAAGTGTGCTCCCATACTAGCTCCTGTTCTCCCTAAACCATATAATAAATGCCTTGTTGCCTCCTGGTTTCCTGGTAAACCATCTGACGCATCCAACTATCAGCATATTAGACTTCTGCCACTTTTTGGGAAACTCCTAGAGGTCCTAATCAAATTTGAATTGGTTCATCATTTCTCATCACACTGCCTTTTCTCAAACAAGTAATATGGCTTTCATTTATCCAAATCAACTGCTGATGTACTAATGATAATTGCGGAAAGAGTCTGTCGTGCTCTAGAAAAACATAGTGAAGTCCAGGCTGTAGCATTGGACATCTTGAAAGCCTTTGACAGAGTCTGGCATTCAGGTCTTCTTCACAAACTGAAAAGCTATGGTATCTTTGGGCATGTTTTTGAGCTGATCCAGTCATCCTTATCAAATTGCGAAATGAAACTTGTCCCAAATGGCCACTATTCCGCATCCTTTCATACTGACACAGGTGTCCCCCAGGACTCCATCCTACACTGTTTTGAATTTTCATTAATGACCTTCCCAATGACATCAGCTCTCAATTTGACATCTACGCTGATGATACAACTATTTACTCCTGCTTCTATAGTAAGGCTAATCAGTCCGACAAGGTCAAAATAGCAGCTGATGTACAAAACAACCTAAAGACCTCATTGCACTTTCTCATTCTAATGTTCTCAGCTGACATGAGGTGGAAAGACTACATTGAATCCATCACTAAATCAGTTGCTAGTAAAGCCAGTTCACTGTGTTGGGCGAGACAATTTTTCTTTCTGGAATCTATAAGTCTAAAATTTGTCCAGGTTTAGAATATTACTACCATATATAGTCCAGTCCTCCTTCTATTTTCTTGGAGTTCCTTAATAAGTTACAAAGAAGAATCAGCAATATTATTGGTCTTGATCTGGCGACTTGGCTTCAATCACTTGCCCACTGCCATAAGGTTGTCTCTCTGTGCCTTTTTTATAAATTCTTTCATGGTAATTGTTTGGATGAGCACTTTTCTATGGTACCTAAGCTGCATGAGTTTAAGTGCAATACTAGACTGATGATGATTTCTCATCAATTTACAGTTGAGCTAGCTTGAGGTAGCCATAACTTCTATGCCGACAATTTCTTTTCTCGCACTTCTTGCTTGTGAAACTTCTTGGGTCCATGCTTTCCAATCAACTTTAATCTGCAAGAAATTAAATACAATGTCAATTGCTATCTACTGTCCTTGTGGTTGCTCTTTTCTCTTTCTGTAACACCTTGTGTCCTAATGGTTGAACTACCTTGATGGGGGTGATACAGATTTAAAGAAATAGCAGCACCAGTGAAAATTTCATGGTTTTTCCTATTTGAATTTTATGATGAATCACGCACACACACACATATATATATATATATATATATATATATATATATATATATATATATATATATATATATATATATATATATGGTATGGTGAAAAACCATATGTATATACACATATAGTTGCATGTACATATATTTTTCTCAGGTGTTCTAAAAACAGTGCTCAATGTTATATAACAAAGCTATTAAGTATATATTAGGGAATATACATAATATCCCATGTCAGTAGCACAAATTGGAGTTTCATGTGAATATGCAATTTTCGGGTGCAGGATATTCCAAGTTGCATATTTACATGAAACTCCAAGTTGTGCTATTGATATTATATAATGTGTGTGTACATGTAATATGCACAAAATTTATATATATAATATAATATATATATAGGAATGATATACTTATCTTGAATGTATTAGTTATAACAATAGTATGTATTTCAAATGTGAGATGCACATCACCAATCTGCAGTTAATGTTGGTAATTGCCTAAACGATATTTCAATTTTCATGAGATACTCAGTGAAACTGTTTTCAAAATAAGTATGTGTCTTATATACTGGTGCATCTTATATTCCAAAGAAATATTTTCAATGAATATCAAAGCTTTTATTATGTTTACTATTATTATATGTAGTCCAATTTCGTATTAATCAACTTCCAAAGAAAAACAAAAAAAACACTTGATTGCTGCTAATTCAAAAGGATTAAAAGTTGGATCAGGCCAAAAATATATATATATATATATATATATATATATATATAGGTTGGAGTTGCTCAGTCTTTAATTTTTCACTCTTCAAAAGTGTCACTGTGTCCTTGTGAGTGAGAAATTATTTTCCACACTACAACCCCTTTGATATAGATGAGACATGGCAAACCTCTTGCTACTCTATTGCTATTTCCATGGTAAGTGCTCTGACAAACGAAATTCCTTAGTTTCACCAGTTCTAACCTTCATGGCTAAGACCCACTCTGCCATGCATATTGTAGCAAACCACCTTCGTATTCCTTTGGTGAAATGTAAACTCCATTTGAGTAGCTTCTTTCCATGAACCGCTGTTTTGTGGAACTGACTCCCAAGAGGATGCTTGCCTAATCAGTACAATCTTAACTTCATCAAGTCTAGGGTTAAACATTATTTTCCTCACATAACCTGTGCCTCCTACTCTGTAACCCTCTACCTGGAGTGGCTCTTGGGCCTTGTACAGAGTGAACGTTATTGTAAAAAAGAAATGTTTCTATTTTATAATCATGCATTTGTAAAAACTTAAACAAAAGCAACATTAATAGATCTTCCTATTTTCTGAGCATTTTACTAAAAAGAAAAAATGTTTAAGCTACTTTAAAGAAACATGAATATTTTGTTCAGAAATAATCATATTTAAATACATGTTTGCATGCATAATCTGATATTGTTGTTTCTAGATTAGGATAAGTCAGTTTGGTTTCATTTTACATGTTTTGTTTACTTCTTATTTGACATTTTATCACTGCGATAATTCTGGTTAGAATTCATTGGACGAGAACTTTTGTGGTTTAATTCTTAATCATCTGCATGGGGGTGTAAAAGCTTATTAGCCAAAAAATGAACAAATATAATTAAGATTCAATTACCTAAGGTAAAC